AAAAAAAAAAATTGAAATCGCAAAATCATAACATAATGGTTAAAATTGATCGGAAACTTTTTCCAAGAAATCCAATTCAAACGGTGAAATTATGATTTTTGTAATAAAAACCATAACTGTTACGATCCCTAATTTTTATTTTTTTTCGGATCATTTTTAACTGTCATAAGGAAGACTGAATTTTCAGGACCGTTTACAATCTTTTATAGTAAAAAAGTTAGATGTTAAAATTACGGTTATGATATGATCGAAAAAATAAAAATTACAAAGTAATTAAATTAGAGGGGAACAAATAAAAATCCAATTAAAAGATTATTCTTGATCGAAAAACAAAAAATCATAATAACGATTAAAGCTGATCGGAAAGATAGATTTTCATTATAAAGATCATAACCGTTACAGTACCTGATTTATTTAGCTATACTCCAGCTATTTAAAGTCCATTATCTCTGCGTAAAAGATTATGGAAACGTTTCTATGCTGAACGCCTTTGATGCGATAGCGGCTATTTATTGATCTGGCGGTTATAACTACTAGCCAACTCTGGTCATGGGAAGAAAGAAGCTCCAAAAGAATCAACCGCCGAAAATCGGCCAGAGTGAATTAATGGACTTAACGGATAAAAACAGCTTTAATGTCTGTCATCCTTATATCTAGAAAAAAGTTGAATCCTTTCAGAGGCCAACTGTCGCCTATCCCAATTACTTGTCGGCTACTGTTTACTACACACGACAACATTCCAATGTATTTAGGTACAAATTCACTTGCTTACTAACGCGGATACGATTATGTAGGGAACAGTACGGACTGCTTGCTGTCAGTCAGCTGCTGTTGCTGACGAAGTTGGTGGGAATTAATTCCAAGTATCAGCACATCATAATAATGTAGCCAACAAGGCAGGCAGGCAGGCAGGCAGCCACTGCCAAGCCAAGGTAACTATGTACAAACACAGATACATAAGTGTGCATTTATTCATGTAAAAACAACAGGTAAAATGAAAATATACAAAACTGAAAACAGAGATAAAAACGAACATGAAATGTACAAGAAGAAAACTTGATGGCTAAAGCCACCAGCAAGATACATTAGGGTGCATCACTCCCAATGTAAAAAAGTTGGTACTGTTTTTACATCCGAATTACAAAAATATTTCGGAAAAAT